AATCCTGTATGTGAGGAATGGGATAGCAATCTGGGGCTGTGCACTTGTTGAGATCTCGGTAATCTCCGCAAGGGAGCCAGTCAGCAGAACTCTTCGGAGCCATGTGTAGCAAAGAGGCCCATGGACTATCGGAAGGACGAATGATGTCTAGTTGTAACATGCCTTCGAATTCCATCTTCGCTACCTTAAGTTTGTCGGGGGCCAACCTACGAGGTCAGCTGTGGACAAGAGAACCCTATTCAGATAGCTTGCGCCATTTACGATAAATAAACTAGAAGTACCTCAACGTTCCTGCGGAGCAATAAGACTATTGCTCTGAACGGGTAAGAGGATGGACAATGCGTCACCAATGGCTTATAAAACGAGATCTGCAGCGAAAGGTTTACACGTGCAACGAGGTAGCGTGACTCACCGGGACAAGTGACAATTCCGCGGTTGAGCGTGAACAGATAATTGCACCTGTTAAAAGAAAAGCTTGTTTCCAGTAGAAAAGGACTTGTAGGCAACAGATGAAAGTGCCGTGTTACTACAGACTCACAATCAAATCAAAATAGACGCGGTGCGGTCATTCAAAAGCCTGAAGCTAATCGAAGTGGACGGCCTGTCGATAAGACTTCTTACATGTCTCAAATTAAGCGCGCGACATCCTAGTGTCTCGTTGCTCTGGGTAGACAAAACACTCGTGTTGATCGTAGACGTTTATTGGCGTATCGTGGTACTAGAAAGTACCGGATACGTGCCGATGTGATGACTAAACAATGCAAGCAAATAAATGCAATAGCAAAGCGAAAGCGTGTCGCACGTGCTGCCTGGGTTTGAACAAAACCCAGTTTATATATACACCTGAGCGGAAAACCGCGCTCAGTTAAACACAAGCATTTAAGTAAAGTCAGAGTTGATTGTGAAGAAAATATGAACGGAAAACGTCCTCGTGGATTGCTCCATTTCTTTGTACAATCATCGTCACTACAGCAGCCTCCCTCTCAGTTCAGTTCAATTGTTACAACCATTAACCATGCACTTTCGTGCGCCGGTTTTGGTTGCCCATTTGGATAAA